TGAATCGTTAGAACAGTGAGCAAACCATGCATTAAGGGCATTACCTCTAGTGTAAAGATCGGCCGTAGAGAGTCGAGAAACTCTTCTATTACGTCCATAGGTAGATTCGTTGTGCCGAGATGGATCTTCTCCAAGGGCTGTCCAAGGTGTGACGAGCCTGGTCTGATTGCGATAATGCCTCCATCATAGACATACTCTCTGCCGTTGAGTTCTATAGAGGTGTGATATATGGCATCGAGCTGGAAGCCTAGAAGACCCATGGACATCTGGCGTGCCAGGCCTCGTGAGAGGTCATAGACAAAGAGTTGGACGTCCATCTTTTGTCACTTGGGGGTGAAAGGAATGCGATTTTCTTGGCTGATATGGATCGCAGAGATATATTCACGAAAGGTATTTATGGCTTTATGAAGGTTTGGGCAGAGCCTTGGGAGTGAGGGTTGTGGTTATTGGGTTGAGCAGGTTGAGTAATAGGATTCTAGGAATTGAAGTGCTAGTATGAAAGTACTATAGGCAGGCAACATCCATTGCGTCGACCTCACTTGAAACTGGAACATTCTAAAGGCGCTGACGGAGAGAGTCCTACCTAGAAACGAGGCGCAGTTGAGTCTATGTCCTAGAGCCATGGCATAGCCAGAAAATAACAGATCGAGCCAGGACACTTTTGACGAGTATTGAATAGGTACCTGCTAAAGAGCAATAACTATCGTCTCGGCATCTTTCACGTACTGTTCGAACTTGATGACATTGAAAGTCGCATATTGACCATTAGTGGGGCATCTAAAATTAGCGTTTCGTTCTCTTCCCTGGGATTTCAGGGGCTTTTCGCATGTCTCCCCTAAAAGTTGATCCTCCAAGGTTCCAAGCCCCTGACAGATGCGCCAGCTGGACGGGCACTATCGCTATGGCCGTGGAGGTGCGTGTGGAACCTCGATTTTTAAGCATGCAGATTGGCTGTATCACGCAAACCAAACCACTTCCGTCTCTCACGAAAAACTATCTTTGCCCCCCTTTCTCACTGTATCTGTGTTAACTTTATCGGTCTGCAACTGAAAGACAGAGAGCCAGCTTGTCAACAGCCAACAGCCAACAACCAAAATCTCATCTCGTCCATCCCATCCCATCCCATCCCTTTTAATTTATTCCTTTTTTTTTTCGCCACGCTCTAATCCCCTTCCTCCTCCCAACCCAACCCTCGTTTCGAAGTGAACCACTCCCTCCCTCCCTAGAATTATCCGATGGTCGACCGAGTCCAGTCCCTTCTTTAAATAGACAGCCCCAACACCGCAATCTTATCTCCCCTTCTCGCGAGACCCGCGCTCATGAGAACACCCACATCGCCGCCCTCATCAAAGTTCCCCGTCTTCGACCCTCACGAGAAACCAGACCGATACAAGTTTAAGCCCAAGAGGCAAGGCATTATTGGCAGGATGAAGGAGTCTTGGATGACACAGTCCCAGCGGACGAGGTGGATTAAGACTGCCGCCATCGTTTTTGCGATTGTTACCCTCTTCTACTTTATCTCCCCCAAGGGTGTTGAAGTGTATCACGAAGGTACGCCTAGTGGAGGTAGTAGCAGCAGTCGATCGAGAGTCCCAATCGCATTGTGCTAACAAGAAGCAGTCACTCACCCTGCGCAGGGCAACAATGGCCAGTCTCCCTCAGATTCTTCCTACGGTACCGATCGATGCACAAAGTCTTTCTCCAAGGACAAGCCCATTGTCCAGTATGTTCTCATGATCGATGCCGGCAGCACTGGTTCGCGAATCCACGTCTACAAGTTCAACAACTGTGGCGATACCCCTGAGCTCGAGCATGAGGAATTCAAGATGACTGAGAAGGATGTCGGTGGCCTCAGCAAGTATAACGGCGACCCTGTGGCCGCTGCCAAGAGTCTCGATCCCCTCATGAAGGTCGCCATGGATACCGTTCCCAACGCCCTCAAGGGCTGCACTCCCGTCGCCGTCAAGGCCACCGCTGGTCTTCGAATGATTGGCAAGGAAGCCTCCGATGCTATTCTTGCTGAAGTCCGACGACACCTCGAGCAGGATTACCCCTTCCCTGTCGTTGACAAGGAGAACGAAGGCGTCGTTATCATGGACGGTTCTCTCGAGGGTGTTTATGCTTGGATTACCACCAACTACCTTCTCGGCAAGATTGGTGGTCCCGATAAGAGCGAGACTGCCGCTGTCTTTGATCTTGGTGGTGGTTCTACTCAGATCGTTTTCGAGCCCACTTTCAAGGGTGCCGCCCACGGTGGAATGCCCGAGAAGCTTGCTGAGGGTGATCACAAGTACGATCTCGACTTTGGCGGTCGTCACTTCGAGCTCTACCAGCACTCTCACTTGGGCTATGGTCTTATGGCTGCCCGCAAGGCCATTCATGGTGCTCTCATCAAGGACATCGAGTCCAAGAACACCGACAAGGCCTGGGTAAAGCAACCCATTGTTAACCCCTGCATTGCGCCGGGCATGAACAAGACTGTTGAAATTACTCTTGATGGCAGTGAGGAGCCTGTTGAAGTTACGTTTGTTGGTCCCTCGCAGCCTGCTCCCGCTCAGTGCCGAAATCTTGCTGAGAAGATCCTCAACAAAGATGAGGAGTGCAAGCTCGCTCCCTGCTCTTTCAACGGCATCCACCAGCCCCTGCTTTCCAAGACCTTCACCAAGGAGGATGTCTACATCTTCTCCTACTTCTTCGACCGCACGAAGCCCCTCGGTATGCCTGACTCCTTCACTCTTCGTGAGATGCACGATCTTACCCAGACTGTCTGCATGGGCAAGTCTGGATGGGATGTTTTCACCACCATCCCTGATGCCATGGCTGAGTTGGATGGCCGACCTGAGTGGTGTCTGGACCTCAACTTCATGATGGCCCTCCTCCACAGTGGTTACGAAATGCCCATTGACCGCGAGGTCAAGATTGCCAAGAAGATCAAGGGCAACGAGCTCGGCTGGTGCCTTGGCGCTAGGTAAGATTCTGCGATTTTGTCCGATTTTTTGTCCCTTACTAATGATATCCCAGTTTGCCTCTTCTTGCTGGTGGTTCCGGTTGGTCTTGCAAGGTCAACCAGATTGCTTAAGTTATACCATAGGATATTAGGCGTTGAAAGGAGATGTACGTTGGCTTTTGCTTTTACTACTAGACCGATCCTTTTGGAACGGCAATGACATTGGGATATGACAAAATCACGCTACGGACCATCGGCATCATGAACAAAAGATGAACGAGAATGTGAGTCATTGGTGGCTTCATGGGGAAACTGGAGTCCTCGACTTGTCATGACGTGTAGAATATTATAGAATTAATTAATACAAGGGTGCCGACCTTAGACCGGCGCGGTCACCATGCCCAAGACATCTTCAATCACATCCTCGGGACCGATATCTTCTAACAGGGCTTCTACTGCTTCAAGTCTGCTCCCCCATTGCATGCTCCTCTCCTTTTCAGGGGAAGTTAGCTGTACTCGGTGTAAGTACACCTTGCGGGCGGCGAGGCCAACGAGAGCTGGTGTTACAAAGTCTAGACGATGCAAAGCAGCCAAACAACGCATGAGTTGACCAAAGTGCTTTGTGGCTGTGGGACTGATACCCCCAGCAACAGCTCGGTGCATTCGAAGAAATGAGATGATGTTCATCTGGTAGCGGATGATTTCGACATCTACTTGTGCCTCTTTACTGAGTGTACCAAGATAACTGACATCCTATAATATAGTCAACGACTGGACAAAGATTGAACCAGGGTAACCTACGCTTTCGACCATCAGGGGCGGGTCTGAGCCGGTTTCCTCTCCAGGACCCCTTTTCACGACACTACCCGTGGAGGCAGTATCGGCATCATTGCCGCCGTCTGCCTCCTCCAAGTTGACGAATCCATCCTCGGGATTATGCCAGTAGGCTATATATAAGAAATCATTCAGGTGCGCCGTCACACGAGCTTCGCCTCCACTAGCTGCTTCTAGGACCGGAATGAATACGAATTGTTTTGGAGCTGTCTGAACAGAAGTTCGTGTAAAGATACGACGGGTACGTAGAAGTTCCAGCGCCTGGATCTGTACAGCTTGTGGTGCTCGATCGAGATTCTTTGCGAAAACCACGTTGGCGATTCGAGACGCAAACGCACCACTAGGCGTTAGAGGACTGAGGGGTGTACGCGGGTGGGACGTTGATGGCCTCGACGTGAAGTATGAATCGGGGTGGCGGGATGCTGTCGGAGAGTGACTAGATGGAGAAGTCGCATTGCCTAGAAGAGCAGAAGCGAAGTCTTCGAGCGTCGTGGAGGGAGTGCAATGGATCACGACCCAAGTGAGGCCGAATGTCTTTGTAGCTACAAGCTGTAGTTCCTGAATCAAGTCATCGATGGCATCGGACGGTGTGCTGACAAGACAGTGTTCGCGACTAATTAGACAAAGGAGTAAGGCCAGCTCGAGATCGCTCAGAGCGTGGACCTTGTCGAGAAGGCCATCATCCGCCATAATTCAGCCGTCTCAGCCTCGTTGGCACGTCCATGAGGCTTTGCGTACCTGATAATGAAGGTTGATCCCTACTAGAACGTTCTTGTGAAAGCTAAGTTAGTCTTCGGGAGCTTAATGTTGCATGATAGAGGTGCATATGATGTCACGTGGAGTTGCACAAACCCAAGACCGCCAGCGGCTTGCGACCCCCACTTTCCTGACTTATGCATGCCACTAAGCTGAACCCGGCCTAGTCTGTAGAATCACCTCGAGCGACGGGCAAGGCTGCGACATTGGTACCTCCGCCCACCGTCATCTGCCGCTGCCATCTCCAAAACACCAACCTTTTACGAACCCGATTCTTGACGATCGAATTTGAGTTCCAGATCGATCAGGACAGCAGAAGTCTTGCTCCACATCGAAGACAGCCCACGAACCGAAGAGAAGAGAAATCGAGGCTATAGAGTCGACGGCGATTCGATCATTGCGCCTGGAACGCTCGAGATAACGTCATTGAGCAACGCTTCTCGTCCAGAAACAATATTTCACCATGTCTTCACGAAAGAAGGTCCTTCTCAAGGTGCGAAATGATGGAAACCACGCCAGAACTTGTCTGGGACCCCAAGTATTGATACGAATGTGAAAATAGGTTATCATCCTGGGCGATAGCGGTGTTGGCAAGACCAGCTTGATGAACCAATATGTACGCATCTTCAACCAACATCTATTAAAATTGCAGCAAGACTGATGGCAATCTTATGATTACAGGTCAACAAGAAGTTTAGCGCGAGCTACAAGGCCACTATCGGGGCCGACTTTCTAACTCGAGAGGTCCTCGTTGACGATCGACAAGTTACCATGCAGGTAGGACAGGGACACAAGATCGCACCTTGAGGGACATTAGACTGACTCTTCTGGGATAGCTCTGGGATACGGCCGGTCAAGAGCGTTTTCAATCCCTCGGCGTGGCGTTCTACCGAGGTGCTGATTGCTGCGTTTTGGTCTACGACGTGAACAATGCCAAGAGTTTCGAGGCACTGGACAGCTGGAGAGATGAATTCCTCATCCAGGCTTCTCCTCGGGACCCTCCCAACTTCCCATTCGTTAGTGGCCCTAAGTTTGAAAGAAGGAAGCATACTAATGCAGAAATTAGGTCGTGCTTGGAAACAAGATTGATGTTGAGGAGAGCAAGCGAGTGGTGAGTAAGCAGAAAGGATTGGTGATCACGATCTAACATTATCAAGATTTCCAACAAGCGCGCCATGACATTCTGCCAGTCCAAGGGCGATATTCCCTACTTTGAGACAAGTGCCAAGGAAGCCATCAACATCGACCAGGCTTTTGAAGGTGAGACTCTATGCTCTGACACCTTGACAAAGCTAATGATTCGCAGTGATTGCTCGCAACGCTCTCGCCCAAGAAGAGTCCGAAGAATTCAGCGGCGACTTTGATGACCCAATCAACATCCACATCGAGAATGACCGTGATGGCTGCGCTTGTTAAAGGATGACATGACCAGATAGTGATTGGGTGTGGGGATGTTTGTGATTGTGTTGAGTGACGAGGAGGATAGCTATATTCGGTGGTTGATTATTGACGTTGCCTGGATGTATCATAAAGAGGCAGCTGGGTTTAGTCTTTTTTCTTAGTTCTCCTTGGTGTTTATACATGGATGCGACTTGGTTCTTTCTTTTGAATTGCTTCAGCATCTTCTTGAGTGTGATATGATGGTGATATGAGATGCGTTTGGGTCTTGATGCGTCAGCTGCTAGAGTCTCGAGGCAATGCCTAGGCTTCAGTGGAAGATGCATCTAATCAGGCCATTATTAGATCAAAAATCGAGCCATTATCAATATCGTACATCAATCGAGTCGCCTCTTAACCGGGGAAGCTCGAGTCAGCTAGCAGAGCTCCTCGGCTCAGACCCACATCTGTCCGAGGCTGTGGAGGCTTCCAATGATAGCAGTTGTACCCCGGATTTCCAAGATATCCACTTTGAGAAGCGCGAACTGTGAGTGGCCAAGATGCACAGTCAGCAGCCGCGAACCTCGGCTCCGTTGCTGGACATTCGACGATGTGCGGAGAAGTTGGAGCTTGAGACAAACCTGGGGTAGAATTATTTGCAGTAACTTGTACTTTATTTCTTCATATCTTGGCTTGATTCCGCTCTTCTTTTTTATATTATCTCGCTATCTTAACACTGTTGTTGTGATATATCATCCATTTTGCTTGTGATAATACGCTCCCTTATTACCTCCACACATCTCACAGTCTTTCCTAAGTCGACTATAGACAATTACGATGTCGGCGAGAATCCCTCTCATTGTGAGAAACTCCATCCCTAACTTCACTTAAGAGCATAGTGACACTAACTCTGGTAATTCAGGCTGTCAATCGCGTCAGCGATGCTGCCAAGAAGCAGCTTGACCTGGTCGCCAAGTTCGTCGAGGAAGAATGTATCCCGTTGGTTTCTCCTTCCGCACACCGCAACTGTATCTCTAATTCTTATTAGCGCCGATCCGGTTGTAGAGGCTCAAGCTGGTGAGGGTGATGCTCGTTGGGAGGGCCACCCTTCCATCATTGAGGATCTTAAGGCCAAGGCCCGAAAGCTCGGCCTCTGGAACATGTTCCTCCCCAAGGGCCACTACAAGGAATCTCCTGGCTACACCAACCTCGAGTACGGACTCATGGCTGAGTGGCTCGGCCGCTCACACGTTGCTTCCGAAGCATGCAACTGCTCAGCCCCTGACACAGGCAACATGGAAGTGTTGGCCAAGTATGGTAACGATGCTCAAAAAGAGCAGTGGCTGAAGCCTCTCATGGATGGCAAGATCCGTTCTGCTTTCCTCATGACAGAGCCTCAAATTGCTTCGTCTGACGCAACAAATATTGAGATGGACATCCGTCGTGAGGGTAACGAGTACGTTCTCAATGGTCAGAAGTGGTGGTCCAGCGGTGCCGGTGACCCACGATGCAAGATTTACATCGTTATGGGTAAGACAGATGCCAACAACAAGGACACTTATCGTCAACAGTCGGTCGTTCTGGTACCCGCCGGAACACCTGGTATCACCATCGACCGCATGCTTAAGGTCTACGGATTCGACGATGCTCCTCACGGCCATGGACACATCACCTTCAAGAACGTCAGAGTTCCTGTCTCCAACCTTGTGCTCGGCGAGGGGCGAGGATTTGAGATTATCCAGGGTCGCCTTGGCCCTGGCCGTATTCACCATGCTATGCGCAGCATTGGCGCTGTAAGTTTACCATGATATGCCTTGGTCTGAACCAACGTTTAACAATATGCAGGCTGAGCGTGCTCTTGACTGGATGCTGCTCCGTGTCAACGATGAGTCAAAGAAGCCATTTGGCAAACTTCTCCGCGAACACGGTGTTATCCTCGAATGGATTGCCAAGTCCCGTATTGAAATCGACGCCGCACGCCTGATCGTTCTCAATGCCGCCATCAAGATGGACGACCTAGGTCCCAAGAAGGCCCTCAAGGAGATCGCAGAAGCCAAGGTCCTCATTCCCCAGACCGCTCTCAATGTCATCGACCGTGCGGTTCAAGCCTTCGGAGGCGCTGGTGTCTCCCAGGATACACCCCTGGCATACATGTGGGCAGGTATCCGAACACTGCGTCTTGCCGATGGACCGGATGAGGTGCATCTGCAGCAGCTGGGACGCAATGAGAACAAGCGCAGTGCTGAGGCGACAGCGACCATCAAGAGACAGAGGGCTAAGACTGAGGAGTTGTTGAAGCAATACGGTGTTGAGAGGCTTCAGCCTGGTGCCAGAATAAAGCACAATGCTAAGCTGTAGGGTTTGGATGTCACAGGGCAGAGTGGCGTGGTAGCATGTTGTTGGCTGTTTGTTTGATAATGGCCAAAGGCCGGCCGCATAACTAGTTGAATGTCTAAATTGTTACACTATTAAAATTCATAGATATATAAATCGCTATTTGTTGATATGGCATAGCTATTCTTCAGCTGCTCGTAGAGGATGAACTTTTCATATGGACATAAAGGCTGTTCATTTGCCGCTGGTGTCTGAAGCAGGCTAGCCAGGCAACCTAGAGCTTCTTGGGGGGCAATTGTTGGCATTGACTTCATCCATGATACCAATATTAAGGGCATAATTCATACATTTTCCGAGAATCCTCCGTCGATAATGACACTTGATTATGTTTATGGTCTCAAGTGTGATATACCATATTGCACTTCCATTATACCCAGAACAATGGGGTATAGGCAAAGAGTTGTTTCAAAGGTCCCGGTGTCCTTTAGTTTCTTTGGGTGTCGTAGAACTATCATGCAATGTCTCTTTTCCTAATGAGTCAACATCTAATCCCTGAGAGTTTTCTTTTCCATATACATACAAGTCATGCCATTCCATTACCCCAGTGATGGTGCGTTGTTCACGACAAGCAAGCGTAAAACACAGGCCTCAGCGTGCCATTTCTCACAGTGGTCCCCTGTAACCGACCATTCCAGGCCTCTATCACCCGCTAAGACACGGAAATAACCAACGTCATCGGATCCCTGCTGCCCAAAACCTTGCATTTTTCTTTAATTGCCCGTTGCCCCGTCAACAGAGAGCACCGTTTACTTTGCCTGCTAATTTTCTACTACTTGTGCCTGGACTGTACCTATTTCATACAAGGGCATTCTATCTTTTCATTAAAGAACCCAACATCCATCTCAACTGTTTTCCTTCATACACAACCAAAGAACGTTATCGCAAACCAGCTTCTGCTCTCTCCACACTCGAGTATTACTCGCACACGAACGCCTCTACTTTCTTCTCCCAACACTTTCATCATGTCAGCCAAGGTTCTCGCCGATAAGGACGTCAACGCTCCCATGATTGAGCAGCCGGTTACCAAAGACGTTAAGAGCATGGAGTATCACCGCCAGGTTCTCCAGTCCAAGATGGCTGAGGAAGAGACGTGAGTGATAGTCAACAGCCTCAACTCAGTGTCAAAGTCTAACCTTGAAGCAGCGCCAACAAGTACGTCTCGCCCTCAGACAACATCATGAGCCCTTGCTCTGCAAAGATCAATGCTCTACGAAACAAGCACGCCAGCAAGTTCGTCATTCTTTCTCTTCTCTGACAATAACAATGAACTAACATCCACTTCAGGGCCAAGCCTAAGTCCTTGTTCGCCCAAGCGAGCGCTAAGAAACTCCAGGGCGACAATGCCTTGGGGGCGAAGCCAGCACCAGCCAAGGCCGGTTTCCAACTGTAAGAGAATCAACAATATGTCTCTTCTTTCCGGATAAAACATGTCCACATTTCATGGGCACGGCTTTTGTTTTTGTTGGCTATAGGCTACTAGCCAATGGTGTTTATTAAACCGCTGGAGGTCAGGTAAGGGGCGTTAGGGGTTCACTTGACATACACATACACACATTGTATTGGTGATACAGGCTACGGAAACTTGGTCTTGATGATATGATGCGATGACAGGGTTTGGCTTGCCTTTCTTTCTGGTGGCTGGTTTATGTACGGTTTTTAACAATGAAACATTTCTTTGGGTTCTACACTTGTACGGATGAGACTAGAGTGTCGTAATGAATTTTTTTTCTTCGTTTTGGCTGTACAAGCTTGCGCATGCATCTAAGCCTTCCAAGCACTGACGATATACACTACATCTTCATCCGCAACAGGGTGTGCCAGACCAACTCTTTGAGGAACATGTCTTGCACTAGCACCCCATACCAGCGCATACTTGAACGTGTCCTTCAGAGTCCTGTGAATGCGGTCGCAGACGTCCTCGATTGTGCTGTTACTGCGCACAATCAACGCCTCACCAAAGTCTGGTTCAGCACCCTTGCGTTTGGTGTAAATACGGATCAGCTTGAGCTCTTTCCAACATCTGTCCACAACATCCTGGATGCCCAGGTCCAGTTCACAACTCATGACAACGGTATGATCCTCGCGCGCCAACTTGTCCAAGAAGTCAAGCGAGACACTATCAATCTTGTTGTAAACGTACAGACACTTGATGTACTTTCGATGGTCCTTCATGATAACATCAATGAAGTCGTCGACTGTGGCGTTCTCATCACGAACAAGTACCTCACAATTAAGGATCTTGTAGTCGCGCAGGATGTTGTAGAGCATCTTCTCGTCCAAGTTCTTGGGAGGCGACTGGAATGTGATTTTCATGCCACCCGCTGTCTTGACCTTGAGGTAAATGTTGCTAGAGTCTCATATTAATAGCGATTCAAACTTGTCCCAGTTGAACTTACGGTGGTTCTCGGTTCAGGCGAATACCGACAGCTTCCAATTCAGCCTCGAGCAATGCTCTTTGTTCGGCTTTCTTGGTAGCGTCAAGAACCATTAGAATAAGGTCACTGGTCTTGGCGGCTGAAATAACTTGTCTTCCTCGGCCCTTGCCTTCAGAAGCACCTTCGATAATACCGGGAAGATCGAGCAGCTGAATCTCAGCGCCGCCATACTCGAGCACACCGGGAATGGCTGTCAAGGTTGTGAAAGCA